ACCTTGTGTTTGCAGCAATTTTTAATGAAGATCACCAAGGCTCCATATCTTTAGATCAATATAGAAGCAAAGGTGCACCTGATGATCTAGAGAGAACTTGGTTAACCAAGGTGGTAATAGAAAGGATGGTAGGAATAACAATAATGAATAATTATAGATTAGGCTATATTAGATTAGACAGGGAAGGAAGGGGTGGCAGTCAAGCTGAACAGAAGTGGTTAATAAGAAAGTGGAATGAGATAAATAGAAAAGATCTGGTTAATATGTTGAGAGAGGAGAAAAGTAAATAAAGAAAACTAAACAGATAAACACACATAAAAACTAAAATAAAAAAAAGAACAACTGATGGCTGGGCAATTTAGTTACCACCTAGATAGAGGAATATGGATATAAGAAAATATGGGCAAGAGAACAATTTTTTTTAATTTTTTTTGGGGGGTCCGGTTGTGGGTCCTGAACTCTGGGCCTGGCACTGTCCCTCAGCTCTTCAGCTCAAGGCTAGCGCTCTACCACTTGAGCCACAGCGCCACTTCCGGCTTTTTTCTTTTTGCTTATGTGGTGTTGAGAAATCGAACCCAGGACCTCATGCATGCAAGGCAAGCACTCTACCACTGAGCCACCTTCCCAGCCCCAAGAGAACAATTCTAATTGTACACAGAAGGAAAGTATAAATGGGGAAGAGCAGGGCTGGGAAGGTGGCTCAGTGGTAGAGTGCTTGCCTTGCATGCATGAGGCTCTGGGTTCGATTCCTCAGCACCACATAAGCAGAAAAAGCCAGAAGTGGAGCTGTGGCTCAAGTGGTAGAGCACTAGCCTTGAGCTGAAGAGCTGAGGGGCAGCCCCCAGGCCCAGAGTTCAGGCCCCATGACTGACAAAAAAAAATGGGGAACAGCAATCCAAAAGAGAAGAAACTATGATTTGAGATTAAAAACTGAGGAAGTGCCACTGTGGTTCAAGTGGTAGAGTGCTTGCCTTGAGCTGAAGAGCTGAGGTACAGCACAGAGGCCCAGAGTTCAAGTGCCACCACTGACCAAAAAAGAGAAAAAAAGAGAGAGATTAAAAACTGAAAAGCAGTTGTTGTGGTTTAGATATGATGACTGCAGAGAAAAGAAAGGGAAAGCAGAACTAAAATGAAAATGCAAGGCAGAGGGAAAATTTATCTATAATTTAAAACAACCAAACCAAAAGAACAACAAAAATCTTATGTAAAACAAAATATGAATTTTTAATTGTTCCTATGTACATGTGTAAATAAGTATATAGACATCTTCATAGGGTGCAAGAAACTGAATATTGCATGACTGAAATGAACTGAATGGGAAAGCTCTGACCCACCCAACAGTCAACACTTGAAGGTCAGGATCTGCCCTGAAGGTTGAATACTTGGCAAGCCTCAGGCTTCAAACTTTTGTTGCTGCCCTGGCTTTAAGCAGTGTTGAGTCACTCCTGGCCTAGGAGTTTGGGACCTCCTACAGTTCCAGTGTCCAAGTCATCAGAATCTCAACTGCAGACATGGCTGTACTCCTCTACTACCCACTAGAGTGGCTGTCATATCCAGGCCTCTTCTGCATGCCTTCAAAGAGAATCCTAAGCCTCTATCACTTATCTCTTCCAGGAGTCTCAAGCAGCCACCCCAGGATCTAAGCTGTCAGTGCAAGGTCCTCACAGCTTAAATTTCTCTGTGGAGCCCTGTGAGATACTCTCCCTCTCTTCAACTTATACTCAAGGTGTTCCCAGACTCCTTGAGCTGTGATTGTTCTCAGGCCCCCAGAGTAACTCTAAAATGCTTTTTTTTTTTTTTTTTTTGGTCGGTCGTGGGGCTTGAACTCTGGGCCTGGGCGCTGTCCCTCAGCTCTCCAGCTCAAGGCGAGCACTCTACCACTTGAGCTACAGCACCTCTTCCAGTTTTCTGGTGGTTTATTGGAGATAGGAGTCTCACGGTCTTTCCTGCCCGGGCTGGCTTTGAACCGAGATCCTCAGATCTCAGCCTCCTGAGTAGCTAGGATTACAGGCGTGAGCCACCAGCGCCCTGCTTCTAAAATGCTTTCAAGAGGACATCTTCAATGTTTGATAAGAAATATACTCATTACCTTACTTATGTAATTGTAATCCCTCTGTACATCACCCTTACAATAAATTTTTTTAAAAAAGAGGGCACTTACCATCTCTCCTCTAAAAGGAGAGATTAAATGTCTTTCTTTACCAAGGCTAGCCTTCCACCCTGGAGTAGTCACTGTCTTACAAATCCCTGTACTAGGATTAAGGCTTTCAAGTGTTTCCCTGAGATAGAATTAGCAGTCACATTGCCAGTGCCATCTATTTTAGCCCCATCTCACTTACTGCAGTTATAACTAATTTACTGACTTTGAAGGTTGTTACTGATAGTCTCTCCTGTAAGGGCTGAAAACTTATTAGGGGTGAGGCTTGTTATTTTTGTCACTATTAGATCTCCAGGATTTAAAATGTGGGAACTGGTTAGTAACTCATGCTAATGGAAGGTGAACTGGCCATTAGGATGAAGCTGGTTGAAAGTCACGCCTGCCCCTCTGTGGTCAAGAAGGAGAACTGCAACTGCCTTCAGCATAGAAACCGAATGGATTCCAAATAGTATCCACCAGGCCTCAAGGGTATCCTGAACTTTCCCATGAAAAGCCTTCTCCTTTCTCTAGGACTAGGTTAGGGAGTGCCCCTTCAAAAAGACCTCCTTTCCCTGACAAAGCTGAGGAGCAAGGGATAGGCCTTGACTGGAAGTCTACAGCTGCCTGGAGGAAGAATGGTAGGAATCAACTGGGAGAATGGCAGGAATGGCAAGAATGGGCTAGCCACCTGGGTAGAGGAGTTGGACACATTGGGGTCATGAGGAGAGATCCCAGTCCTGATCTACAAGGATTGAAGTCTCAGTCCCTGAGGAAATTGAGGAAGAGTGAGGGAAATATGGTAGGCAGTGGAAAGTTCTCAAAGGCCACCAGGTCAGTGCAGGCCAATATGTGCTCAGGTGACTCTGCCTCTGGAAGGTTTGAGATCCCAAAGGTGTCTGCTTGTAACAAATGCTTTGCATACAGCATGGCTGGCCCCAGCAGAATGTGGGGCTGGGCCTTGGGAAACCTAAGACCAGCAAGGCTTCTTCCTTTCTAGGATCTCACACTTGAACTATGGTTCAAGTACCTCAGAACCATAGGATAAATGAGAACTGTACCAGGTGCTGGTGGCTCATGCTTATAATCCTAGCTACTTAGAGGCTTAGATCTGAGGTTCTCAGTTCAAAGCCAGCTCAGGCAGGAAAATCCGTAAGACTCTTATCTCCAATAAACCACCAGAAAACCAGAAGTGGCACTGTGGCTCAAATGGCAGAGTGATTACCTTGAGCTGAAGAGCTGAGGACAGGCCCAGAGTTCAAACCCCACAACTGAGAGAGAGAGAGAGAGAGAGAGAGAGTGCTTCCCTAAAGCATCACTTCTGATAATGAACATAATTTTAAGCATCTCCAAATTGGAATAAACCAAGGTAGTAGTATATAGGCTGCATGTCATTTTTTTTAACATAAAAAAAATAAAATTTCAGGGCTGGGAATGCGAATCAATGGTAGAGTGCTGTTTGATTCCTCAGTACCACTTAAACAGAAAAAGCTGGAAGTAACTCTGTGGCTTAAGTGGTAAGAGTGCTGGACTCGAGTAAATGCAGCTCAGGAACAGTGCGCAGGCCCTGAGTTCAAGCCCTAGGACTGGCAAAAAATAAAATAAAATAAAATAAAACTTTAGTGGCATAAATAATCCCAATGATAGCTGTTGGAAGAGAGGATAGGGGCAAGGAAAGATAAAGCAATGGAGAGGTGTTTTTCCTGAACAAAACATAATATATATAAAGATCCCTTGGTATAATTAATACATACAAAACAAAACAAAACAAAATGATGAGAAAGTAAACCAGACTGCGTTGCAGTGGTGGCACCAGTGGGAGGGGGTTAGGTTAACAAAGGGAGTAACAGGATGAATATGGTTGAGGTTTAGCGCTTGCCTTGCATGCCTGAGGCCCTGGGTTTGATTCCTCAGCACCACATAAGCAAAAAGAAAAAAGCCGGAAGTGGCGCTGTGGCTCAAGTGGTAGAGCGCTAGCCTTGAGCTGAAGAGCTGAGAGACAGTGCTCAGGCCCAGAGTTCAGGCCCCACGACCAGACCAAAAAAAAAAGAAAATAGAACAATGAAACTGTCAAAATTGCTAATCAAGATATAATATAAGCCGGGCGCTGGTGGCTCACGCCTGTAATCCTAGCTACTCAGGAGGCTGAGATCTGAGGATCGCGGTTCAAAGCCAGCCCGGGCAAGAGAGACTCCTATCTCCAATAAACCACCAGAAAACCGGAAGTGGCGCTGTAGCTCAAGTGGTAGAGCGCTCGCCTTGAGCTGAAGAGCTGAGGGACAGCGCCCAGGCCCAGAGTTCAAGCCCCACGACCGACCAAAAAAAAAAAAAGATATATAGGAATGATACAATGAAACTTCCCCTTATACAATTAATGTATGCTAATAAAAAGAAATTTTTAGAAAGGATAAAACTTCAAACCATTTTTATGCCTTCTAGAAGGCCTCATCCTCCTCTGAGGACTTGTGGGGCATAAGTCCAAGCCCAGACCTGTGAGGCAGGCTGCTGAGAGCCCTCCTCTCTCAGGGTCCCTCCTATTTGACATTTCTGGAAATGTTCTAGCTAGCTCATCTCAGCTAGGCTAGTGGACAGTAAAGGGGGAGCTTCTTCTCTACATGGAACTACTGGGTTAAACAGCTTACTTTGCCAAGGTGGTATAGCAGCCTCCACATGTGAGAGTTAAGAGGAGAGAACATCAGTCTGAGGAATGCAGCTCCTCCCCTGGTTTCCTGGCTGAGCCTTGGTAGGTTCTATATCATACACAGTGCAGGATCTTGGGAAGTATGTGGTGGGCTCTGCTCAAGCCTCTGTGCCTAGCCTGGGGAAAACGATCTAGCAGAAGGCATCTCCTGGAGGGCTTCCTTACCTCTCTCTTGAGTGGAGCCACATAGGCCCAGGAGTTGGTGGCGGGATCGTAGCGCTCTACTGCATTCAGGTCGTTGTGGTAGTCTCGGCCAGCCACAGCATAGATATACCGGCCCACAACACACACACACAGGTCTGCGTGTTCCTGCTGCAATGACTGAATCTGGAACCAGCGGTTATGCCTTGGGTCATACCTTTAAGGAACAGGAGGACAGCATGTCACTGACCTGGAGGGCAGCTTGAGCTTCAGGGCCCACACTTCCTACTCCTCTTTGTTTTCCATGCCAGAGCCCACTCTGAACATCCCCTCTCCATTCACAAGAACACACTGACCCAGAGCTACCCCAGGAGGTGTTCTACAGCTAATCACAGACAGCCTGGAAGATGTGGTCAGAACATCCTGTGTTTCCGCCCATGATGCTGGCTCCTTTCAGGTATACCCTTTGGAGTTGTTTAGAGCTCACCCAATAGCTCACCCCAGGCTGCCCAAAGGCTGCTCTTACAGCCATCCTTATCTCATCTGTCCCTATTGAGGAAGGTTCCTTAGCTATAGCTTTTCACCAGATAGGCAGATAGGCCTCCCATAATATTCCATCATATGTGGTCTGCTCAGGTGCACTCCAGGAACAGTGAGTGTCACCATACCTAGTTTTATCACTATTCATTAGCAGGCACCCTCCCTGTTCCCTGTCCCCATGGCTTTGCTAGCCTCCACAATTATGGTTTCCTCTCCACTAAATGTCTCTCTACTATGGAAGTGGGCAGGCTAACTCCCATGTGAACTGTGGGCTCTTGAGGGCAGGAAGCTGTGGGATTCCTAAGACCCTATTGGAACAGATTTGGAGCTGGCTACAGGAGGCCCCAAAAGTCTGTCTGGGCCCAAAAAGCCTGCTGGCTAGCTGCCTAATGAATCATGCTCAAGCTGCATGGAGAAGGAAAGGGGTGCAAGGCAAGGAGGTCACTGACCTTGCTGACATTATTTATTTATTTATTTATTGTCAGTCATGGGGCTTGAACTCAGGGCCTGGACACTGTCTCTGAGCTGTTTGTGCTCAAAGCTACTCTACCACTTTGAGCCAAAGGTATGAGGTGCTAGGATCTGTGAGCCTGAAGTGCTCCAATCTTACTCCACAACCGATGTCCAGCCACCAGCATCTGCCCAGCTCTTGACCAAGGCTTCTTACAGGTACAGTCTCAGACAAATGGTCTGATTTCTCCATAGGAGACCAACTCCAGTAAGAATAAATCTGAGGGCTAGGAAGGTGGCTCAAGCTTGCCTTGCATGCACTAGGCCCTGGGTCCGATTCCTCAGCACCACATAAGCAGAAAAACCCAGAAGTGGCACTGTGGCTCAAGTGGTAGAGCACTAGCCTTGAGCTGAAGAGCTGAGGGACAGCACCCAGGCCCAGAGTTCAGGCCCCATGACTGACAAAAAAATAAAGAAAGAAAGAATAGTCTTACTTCAACTGGCTCCAAAGACAGTAGACAAGAGTTTCCTTTGCCCTGTGCCCAGTGGTGGCCAGTAAAGACATCAGTTTCATTCTTTGCCCAAAGTACAACTTAGATGTGCCCTGTAGCTGATGCTTCTTACCTCTGTGTCTTGGATGGCCTCACCCTAGTAGCCAGGAAACAGGAATCTGAGGATATGCAGCCACCAAAAGAAAACCCACATATGGGTGACTATGACCTACCCTGTTTAGTTAGATACACCTGGGCATCACTTTCCTTTTTCCTCACTTGCCCAATGGGATAGCACTGCCTACCCAAAATAATCTGGCTCCTACAGGAGCCAAGTATGGGGTACATAGCTGTAATCCCAGCATTTAGATGAATAAGGCAGAACAATTGTAAATTTATGGCCAGCTTGGGTTCCATAGAGATCTTGTATCAACAATTTCCAAGTCCCTCAGAAATAAAAGCTGTCCAGAGGGATCATAAAGGACAAGGAACACAAAAAGAGTCCTTGTTAACTTGTGGTCAGAGTTCACTTCTGCTTTCCTGGGTCTCTGGGTATCACTTGACATAGGTAGCACCATCTGCTATGAAGAAAAGGAAGAACCAGGCACTGGTGGCTCAAACCTGCAATCATAACTATTGAGGAGGCTAAGATCTGAGGATTGTGGTTTGAAGCCAGGCCAGGCAGGAAAAGTCCATGAGACTTTCATCTCCAATACACTCTCAGAAAAAGCTGGAACTGGCACTATGGCTCAAGTGGAAGAGTTCTAGCTTAGAGAAAAATAATCTCAGGGAAAAAACCCAGACCCTGAGTTCAAGCCCCAGGGCTGGCACCAAAGAGAGAGAGAGAGAGAGAGAGAGAGAGAAAGGAAAAAGGTAGGCTAAAAAAGAAAGGATATGACTACTCACAAGGAGATGGGTGACAGTATCTCATACTTGTAGTCCTAGCTACTAAGGAGGCTGAGATCAAACCAAGGTTTGAAGCCAGTCTGGGTAGGAACATCCATGAGACTGTTATCTCCAATTAACTACAAAAAGCTGGAAGTGGAGTTATGGCTCCAGTGGTGAACCTTGAGAGAAATAGCTAAGGAAGGGGGCACTTGTTTTCTCCTTTGCCTATGGTCCTTTACTCTTTCTGGATCCCCACACTGAGCACCTCATATACACTTTGGGTAGCAAGGGTTTATTTATAGTGTGACAAGTGATTTTCTAGAGAGTAATATTGTATGTGTATGTCCACATGTGTGTGTATGCATGCACATGTGTGTGTGCATGTGTGCGGACACTGGGGCTTGAACTCGGGGTCTGCGAACTGTTCCTCAGCTATTTGTTTTTGCTTTGGGGATTTTTTCCCTTTCTTTTTTTTGTCGGTCATGGGTCTTGAACTCTGGGTCTGGGTTCTGTCCCTGTGCCTGTCCCTAGGCAAGCACTCTACCACTTGAGCCACAGCACCACTTCTGGTTTTCTGGTGGTTAATTGGAGATAAGAGTCTCCCAGACTTTTCTGCCCAGGCTGGCTTTGAACTGAGATCCTCAAATCTCAGCCTCCTGAGGAGCTAGGATTACAGGCATGAGCCATTGGCACCCAGCTGTTTTGGGGATTTTTGTTGTTGTTGTTTTAGGGGAAGCAAAACAGGGCACAGAAATCCAGGGAGGAAGAGTGAACAAATGCAATCATGGTATTTAGTATACCCTATGTGGAAAATAAACTATGTAACTTGTAGGCAGGGATGGGAGGGGGAAACTGGAAGAAAGCAAAGGAATGAGTGACATTGTTTAAAATCAGTTGAATTGTACTGATTACCTGACTTAAGAAATGGTAACCTATCTGTTGGGCGCCAGTGGCTCACACCTATAATTCTAGCTACACAGGAGGCTGAGATCTGAGGATTGCGGTTCAAAGCCAGCCTGGGCAGGAAAGTCCATGAGAGTCTTATATCCAATAAACTACCAGAAAACTGGAAGTGGCACTGTAGCTCAATTGGTAGAGCACTAGCCTTGAGCTGAAGAGCTGAGGGACAGTGTCCAGGCCCACATTTCAAGCCCCACAACCAACTACAACCACCAAAAAAAAGGATAACCCCTCTGTACAATACCTTAATCATAACAATAAAATTATATTTAAAAATTAGTTTTAGTATCACATAGAAAGGCATAAATTAGTTTTAGTCACTACTTGACTGTATCCCATAAAATTCCTAATGCCGGGCTGGGAAGGTGGCTCAGTGGTAGAGTGCTTGCCTTGCATGTATGAGGCCCTGGGTTTGATTCCTCAGCACCACATAAGCAAAAAGAAAAAAGCCGGAAGTGGCGCTGTGGCTCAAGTGGTAGAGTGCTAG